TAAATAACATAGGTAAAGCAGCCATTTAAAACAGTGGCTGACACAATGCTATATGGGTTTTCAAAATTTGTCATCATCATCAGTGTTTGTGGCAAAAGATCTTGACTATGCCATATGAAGTAAAGAATGTCTATGGGAAGATATATTATGTTAAATTACCCAATATATGATTACAAAACACAGAAATTATTTTTAACATCTACCTTAGCTTCATACAATTCAGAAAACATTTTTGAATGACATTATAATAAAAAAACATGGATGCTATAAATTACTTTATAGTTCAAAACCTAAAACTATGAAAGTTAATTCAGACGAGTAAGAAAGTTTAGCACAAGAACACTTGGGAAAATAGCACAATATCGCCACCTAGTGGATATTTAATTTTAAACAATTTTGTGGATTGTGCTTATGCTATTTTATAGTTAGGGAAAAAATTCCTTTTCAAAAAGAAGCACATTCTCTTCACTAATGGTAAGAAAATTAAAATAGGAAAAAATTAAATGCTATATTAGCAGTTCTCTTAAACACTGTAGCTAAAAATACCTTCTAAGTTGTGTATCTCAAAATTGTTTCTAAAACAAGGTAACAGTTTTGGTTCAGAAATTTCAAGTATGTCGAAAACCGCATACAAGTCACCAGCTATTTCATCATGGCCTCCCAATTAATGCAAAAAATATTAGCTATAACATAAATTTAAAATCATAGAATTGTGAAGCATCTAAAAAGCCATTTACTCTACCTACTTGCTGAGTCTCTTCTGAAGCACCCCTGACAAATAGAAATCTTGCCTTCAGCAAGCAACCAAATTTACTTTTCTCTGGGTTCATTGCCCTATAGAGACTACACAATTAGAAAATGTATGTTTTTCATGAGTTGAAATCTGCTGATCCTTGATTTATACTTCAGGGAATATAGAATATTCCAATCCTTCTCCCAAATAATTATTCAATTATGAGAGCATATCAAGTTATAGGATCTCTGCTTCTCTGAGTTAAATATCCCATATATTCTTCTAGCCATTTCTCTTGCAACGTAATTATAAACACTTATCTGTTCATACTTCTTTAAACAGTTTCTAACATTTCTAAAAATGACTATAACCAATACAAAGAAAATATGCCATGAATGGCTTGGCTAATGCAAAGATATGTTATCACTTCTCTCTCCATATTCTACCTCTCTTATAAAAAACTTTCACAGTAGCAGTCAAAAACAGCCTTGGGAATCAGACCAAGCTATGTTCTTCAGGGACAGCGTGGACTTCTAGAGAGCTACCTTTCTGCTTGATCTTCAGTTTCTCCAGCAATCGAACAGAAATCAACATGTGCCTCACAGGAATATGAGTAGGATCAAACGTGACAGTAATTGTAAATCAGCTAGAAGTATTACACCCAGAACATTGTAGGCGCTCAATAAACGATAGCAATTATTTTGGGTGTGCCATACACACACATATATGGTTAACTGAACTGATATTAAAGTTCCTAAACAGTGTGAAAAATCAATACTGGATTTAATATTTTCTTTTGTCAAGAAAATACCATGTGTCTTTTGGTCTGATGGTGAAACACTGACTTCAAATGAACACTAAATTTATCAAATGCTCATTTTTTATTTTATAAAGCCCAACATAAAGGTATTATTGGATTACTTAATTGCAGCAAAATTTCTTACCCTAGAAATGATTTTCAAATGTTAAATAATTTAGTGTTGGAGTCGTGGGTAAGTTTTAAAAAATGTAACTTCAATATAACCCTTTTTATTAGAATTTTCTAAGCTATACAAGTTTTAGCATATTAAACATGTTTGTCTTGTCAATACAGAAAACATACCCTAAATAAAAGATAATTAAGTTATCCCTAAAGTAGTAAAATTAAGCCTAACTAAAACACAAAATAGTCCTAATTGATTGAAAATTCTTTTCCCTTAAAGGTCTAATCAGTTCTACTATTATAATTTAATGGTTGAAAGTTATTTTTCTTTAAATAGTAATAATTTTGAAATATTTACTTACATATATTTATAAGTAAATATAAGTATTAGGCACCATGGTAAAGAAAAAAATTCAAACTAAGTCAGTAAATTTAGGCAGAAAAAGTTAAGGTTGACTCTCATTGTGAAATATGTGATTTATTTCCTAAAATTAACTAATGTAATTTTTTCTAGGATATTCACTTCTTTCTATACTAAAAACTTCATTCAGTATTCATTTACTCAATATTTATTAAATAACTTATTTATGAACTTTTTGGATATATAACAGGGGCTGATTCTTTTTGAAATAAGGCTAGACATGGGCCAGGCACTGACCAGTTAGGACAAATACTCTACTCATTTGAAATGAGGACCAAAGGTTAAACCACTTGCCTATTGATTCCAAAACCACAGTCAAATATAAAAATCTTAACTGCCAAGCTAAATGCTCTTTCTACAAGCCCATAGTCCCTAAATTATGTTTAATTTTCCATTACAAAAAATGTTTCATATTATTTTCATGATACATTTTGTTTCACTTTTTAATAAAATGCTAATTGTTTTAAAGATAATAAATGCTAATTTAATGAACACGAATTTATTTCTTTATATGAATATTTTATTTTAGGAGTGAGTCTACACAGATACAGAGAACATTTTGATAGTTGCCAGATGGGAAGGGGGGGTTGGAAGCTGGGTGAAATAGGTGAAGGAATTTAAAATGTAAAAATTGTTAGTTACAGAACAGTCACAGGATGTAAATTACAGCATAGGGAATATAGTCAATAACATTGTAACAAGTATATACGTGTTCAGATGGATACTAGATTTATTAGTGATCACTTTGTAAGTTACATAAATGTCTAATTAGGGGGTTGTACATCTGAAACTAATATAATATTCTAGGTCAACTGTAATTTAAAAATTAAAAAAATAAATAAAAGTACGTCTAATATAATCGTCTATTTGGGGGTATAAATAAAAACTGAGGATCTCTTCTCTTCTCATGGCAGTTAAACTCAAACTAGAAATGTACTATAGTAAGCTACTTGTTTATAAAAATAGATTGCATTAAACTCTTTGTATTAAGGTACCTTATAATAGACGAAGCACATTTCAGAAATAACTTTAAGAAGAGGAGGAAGAGGTCAAAGAGCTAACAAAATTTCTCTTGCCAAATGACATGCTATGTTTAACCTCAGGAACTACAGTTCCAAAGCATTTAAATACACAGTGAGATGCAATAGAAAGGATTTTGGGGTATCCCCTAAGAGAAAACGCATGATATGTGAGGAAACAGCATACGGGAACCTTACTATGCTATATGCTATATAAACATAATACTCAGCTATGAAATTTCACAGAAGAAAAAAGTTCAAACATTTAATACTGGGGCTACACGTATTATGTACTAAATCCGTTTGACATTCTTTAACATAATCCTACTTATATACTTTAATACCAATAATTGTAAGTCTCCACAGGCTTCTTTTTTAAAAAATCACCTTTTAATCAAGAAATTAAATTAAGTCTAATTTTTTTAAACTTCATGTCAAAACATCTATTTGTTATCTCTTGAAAAATGTTCAAAACACAAAGATCACTTAGGATATTCCTAAAAGCAATGCTCTATAACAACTTCTAATTCACAGCATTCTTTTCTAAAATGTTAAGTACTATACTTTCTGTACTTTATAGAAAGAAAAAAAAGAAACTAAGCTAACCTGTTTTCTCTGAATGTAGATTTTAAACCAAAATATTTTTTAACAGGGTAGGAACTTAAAAATTAACTGGGACAGCGATTCCCCCAATGTGGAATGGTTTCCTCATTTTTGCCAGACTAGATTAGAGAGGAAAAGTCTTTCAGTCTCAGAAATATTCCTTAACACATTCATATACAGTATCAGACAAGAAAGCTGTTTTTCCTAAATTACACATTTCTTTTTTAATGTTGACTTCCTGGAATTCAGATTGTCATTATAAATAATAACTTCATTGAGTGTGCTTTCTTGTCTAGTTAAAAAAAAAAGTTTGAGTAAAAACCTCTGTCCTGCAATCACTGTTACAACTAAAAAGTTGATCTAGTTGATCTACTTCCTAAGCACTGAGCAGAGTTCAAGATTGCTCTTTATTTACTGCTCCATCACACTTGTCATTTTCACCTGTACACAATTTTATATTTGCAAACACAGAATACTTTCCCATCCCACTCATTATTTAAAACCCAGAGAAAGCATTAGTCAACATTTAAGACAAATAGGTTCACAAAGCTACTTAAAAATGTTTACAAACATAAAATGAGTTAAGAGATAAATTCTATTCACAGTTCTAAGTATACATGTGAGTTAACTTGTCCAAACACTTTTCTGTAATGGAATGATAATCAAATGAATGCACCAAAATAGCAGACACAGAATCCAAAATCCAACACACAAGATTACATCAGCTGTTCCCCAATCTACTAAATAAGATTAGGTCAAATGATTTCTAAACTTCTTTCAATTCTATCTTTTCTTGTATAATGGAATCAAATACCAGTTACCTCTAGTTTTATATTTGGCCTTGAAAGTTAGTGTTTTTAACCTCTCAGCAACAATTAAAATTTTATTTTAACTATCTCAGCAAAGAAATTATATCCTACACTTTTATGAAATGTATCCTAAAATCTCCTTTGGTAACTTTAGTGGGTTGAAGTGTCCCACAAAAAGACATGTCTGCTTGGAACCTGTAAATGTGATCATATTTGGAAAAAGGGTCTCCAATGGTATAACTGAATTAATACTGTCATCATGAGACCATCGACATTGTCCCTGTAAGATAAAGAAGAGAAGACCATTGGGAAAGCCATGTCAAGACAAGGGCAGAGAGACTGCAGTGATGCATCTATAACCGAGGCAGCAAGGGCTGCAGAGAGCCACCGAAAGCCAGGAGAGAGGGACGGGAGTGGTTCTCCCGGAGCCTCCAGATGGAACCAAGACTGCCGACACGGTAATTTGAGATTTATGGCCCCCAGAACTGTGAGATATATTTTTAAGCCACCGAGTTTGTGGTCATTTATTATGGCAACCACAGAAAACTAGTACAGTAACATATGTCAAAAAGAAAACCCCTTTTTAAAGGTATTATCATCAACACAATTTATCTGTGGCCATCACATAGTTCACATTAGAAATTAGGGAAAGAGCTCCATCATTCCTAGATTTTTAACCAAAACCAGTAACTTAAATCATAGGTAGACAAAGATGAGCCTGGAATTTCTAACACTTACTATCGATGTGAGTCTATTTTGCCTTATGATTAAAATTATATTTACTGAAATGTTAAGCAACTTTTCAATCAAAAATATTACCTGATCATTTGCAAAGTTTTCAAATATTCTGTCTACTATTGCTTTTTGGGAATTAATACATAAGTTCCAGTATTACAATGCGTGCCCAATTTTCTTAAACTTGTATCTATAAAAAGTTCCCAAGCTTTGAGTGGCCAGCAGTACAAAAATGATATCATGAGATAATTGTAAACAATTTTATTTTCCCAGTATTGCTCAGGCTTATGGAGCAAGTCTTAAATGTTTCTAAGTTTTTTACCACTTAACTCCCTTGGGTTTGTTATATATGTTTAAAACACATATAGCCGATGTTTAAAAATAAAACATCTAAAGTGATCTGAGGATCACCACTGTGCCTAAAAGTTCATAATTTTCACCTGTTCAGTTGCTTATGTGGAAATGTGGAAATCTATTTTAGAGTTCAAGATATCTGTGATATTACCACATAAACCTCTGAGTGTCCTGACTATTTGGCCACTGAAAAGTCTTGTTCAGAAAGATATAAAAAGTTATGAAATTAACAACTGCATAGCAACCTAGTTCACAAACAAGTCTAGATATTGGGGGCAGAGGTATGTTAAGCCTATAAATAACATAAGGTAAAATAAAGTAACGAAATTCTAGCAGTTTCTGAGGTACTATAACAGCAAATAAGCATATGAAAAACATTAAGTTCCAGAAAATGGACTTTGACTTCAATGAGTCAGTTATACTCCAACCAGCAAATATATAGACAGGAACTAGCAAATATTTCACAATTTCATATCTTTGAATAACTCTTCTCCACACATAGAATGTATAATGCCTGTTATCTGCTAATAAGTATTTGTGAACGTAAGTGAATTTCCAAACTAAAAATACAGAGACTACAGTGAGCACAAAAAACTGAATTCTACGTTTCCAAACTAAGCAAAGAAAAGCTTTCACTTTGCTAGGAGACAGTAGGTGAGGAAAGGAAAAAAAGAGAGTGAAAGAGAAAAAATAGAAGAGCTGGGGGAAGTGCAGACAGACTTCATGACTGCTCCGATCGCCGACAACAATCCCCCCATTCACTACCACGAAAGCACAAAACAGAAACAGGAGAAGGATGTACGGCCAAGTCAAGATGAGAAGCATACTCAAGTTCTTAAAGGACATGGAATAAACCAAAAGAAACTGAAGAATTTTCCTGAATTCTGAAAACGGTCCTTTGATTGGGGGAAGCCTCTCTTCCTTCTTCTTTTGCAGCTCAGTTTTCCAAGCTTCAGTTAACTTTTGTGCGATGACGTTTCCTGCGCAGAAGACAGCCCAGACAATATTTGTCTGACGAAACATGAAGCCACAAAATCCAAGCAACGCTGATGTTTTATGATTCCCATAAAGACACATCAAATAGGCAAAAAGAGTGAAAAACATGGATCCTGCTTCTGTATAGTAGAGGAAGTTAAAGAAATAGAGTGTAGGAAATACTGCTAGGGTTAATGTTGACAAGATTCTCTGGGCACTTGAGCCAACCTAGGAGGAAGAGAAATCACAGTTAAACTTATTTTCATGATAAAACAAATATGCTTTTTCTGTGGAGATAATGAAGAGACTTCTTAAAAAATACAAAACCACATGAGTCATATTTAAATAAAATTATTCAAGATTATTTCTGGCTAGGCAAAGACACAATAAACATTTAAATATGTTTTTACTGATTTTTAGAAAGAGAGGAAGGGAGAAGGGAGACAGAAATAGAAACACTGATGAGAGAGAAACTTCAGTAGGTTGCCTCTTATATGTGCACTGACTGGGAATTGAACTTGCAGTCTTGCAGTGCACAGGGGACAATGCTCCAATCAACTGACCAACTAGGCCACCTGGTCAGGGCCTTCATTTACACTAAATCACCAAATCAAATCATGCAATTGCCTTAATTAAAATTAAGGGCTGTCCATCACCTATTCAAGTTCAAAATCCTTTCCATGACTTTTAAGGACACTCATGACTTCACCCCACCTACCTCTCCAGCCTCAGAGGTCTATCCTATCTAATAAAAGAGAAACATGCAAATTGACCATAACCTCGACACCCTTCCCATTGGCTAATCAGCAGGATATATGCAAATTAACTGCCAACCAAGATGGCGGCCGGCAGCCAGGCAGCTGAAGCGAATAGGAGGCTTACTTGCTCCAGTGATGGAGGAAGCCAAGGTTCCCCGCCTGCCACTGCCGGCCTCTGAGCTTGCACTCTAAGCAACTATGTTGCAATTATAGAAGCTAAACAAACCCCAGAAACCTGCTTTCAGCCGTCAGAGTTGGAGCGTGCAGGACTCCAACAGTGTTACAATTATAGAAGCCAAACAAACCAGATACCTGCTTTCAGCAGCCAAGGTCTCAGAGCTGGAGCCGAGCCTCAGAGCTAAAGCCAGCTCTTAGCTCCAGTGACAGCCATAGAAGGTAAATAAATCCCAGAATAAAAAGAAAAAGAAAAAAGGGAGAGGTTGGGAGCTTCAGTCACCCGCCAGCCTGGAAACGGCCCTCAGCCCCTCACCCAGACTGGCCAGGCACCCAAGCAGGACCCCCACCCTGAAGGGGGTGTGACCAGCTGCAAACAGCCATCATCCCCTCATCAAGGCTGGCCAGGCACCCAAGCAGGACCCCCACCCTGATCTGGAACACCCTTCAGGGCAAACCAGCCAGCCCCACCCATGCACCAGGCCTCTATCCTGTATAGTAAAAGGGTAATATGCAAACTGACCCTAACAGCAGAAGGACTGGGAATGACTGGTCACTATGACACACACTGACCACCAGGGGGCAGACGCTCAATGCAGGAGCTGCCCTCTGGTGGTCAGGGCACTCTCACATTGGAGGAGCTCTGCTCAGCCACAAGCCAGGCTGATGGCTGCCAGTACAGCGGTGGTGGTGGGAGCCTCTCCTGCCTCCTCAGCAGCGCTAAGGATGTCCCACTGCAGCTTAGGTCTGCTCCCCGCTGGCAAGTGGACATCCCCCAAGGGCTGCCGTGCTGCCAGAGGGATGTCTGATTGCCATCTTAGGCCCAATCCCCGGGGAACGGGTCTAAGCCAGCAGGTGGTCATCCCCTGAGGGGTCCCAGACTGCGAGAGGGCACAGGCCGGGCTGAGAGACACCCCTCCCCACCGAGTGCACAAATTTTTGTGCACCGGACCTCTAGTGCACCAATATTTGTGCACCAACTCCCTGCATCTGTCGCTCATACTGCCTACTGTGCTTATGCTCCTCCTGCCAGGATTCCCCACCCTAAAGCCCTATCTGTGCATCAAGATTCAGCTTAGGTACCGTCTTCTCTCTGGAGCCCTACCCAGTGCCACCACACCCCTCTCTCCCAGGGCTGCAGTAGGTCTCCGCTCCTTCTCTGTATCTGAAGAGTGTCTTACGCCTATCCCCTGCTCATAACTTACACGACTGAAATAATCTCAAGTTAAAATTAACTGTTGTAATTAATATTTATTGAGTCCTTAACATTACATCAGGCACTATTCTAAGCATCTTCCACTATTAATCTCCTTTACTCTTCATAACAGTCATATAAGGTAGATTGTGTATTATTCCCATTTAACAGATTAAGACTTGGAGTCACTGAGGGGTAACCTGCCTCAATTAACATAATTAGTAAGTGGACAGAATTCAAACCCAGGCATTTTTACCTCCAGGGCCTACATTAAGTCACATAAAAATTCCTCAGGTAGCCCTGACTGGTTTGGCTCAATGGATAGAGCGTCAGCCTGCAGACTGAAGGGTCCAGGTTCGATTCCGGTCAAGGGCATGTACCTTGGTTTCAGGCACTTCTCCAGTAGGGGGTGTGCAGGAGGCAGCTGATTGATGTTTCTCTCTCATCGATTGTTCTAACTCTCTATCCCTCTCACTTAATCTCCGTAAAAAATCAATAAAATATATTTTTTTAAAAATTCCTCAGGTAAAGTCTGTTTCTCCTAATGAAAATACAGCTTTCTTAAGAAAATTATCACCTCATTTACCTCTGCAGTTTCAATGTTAAGCACATGGAGTAAGTTCAGTAAATAGTAACTGAAATGGTTTGATTAGTGAAAAAAAATATTTACTTTAGATTTTATAAGTAAACTAGAGGCCCATTGCATGAAAATTCATGCACTCGGCGTGGGGGGGGGGAGAGCCCCTCAGCCCAGCCTGCGCCCTCTCACAGTCTGGGACCCCTGGGGGATACCCACCTGCCAGCTTAGGCCCGCTCCCTAGGGATCAGGCCTAACCTGGCAGTCAGACATCCCTCTGGCAGCCCAGGAGCCCTCAGGGGATGTCCAGCTGACAGCTTAGGCCTAAGCCGTCAGCCGGACATCCTTAGCGCTGCTGCGGAGGCAAGAGATGCTCCCGCCACCGCCACTACGCTCACAGTCCCCAGCCCGACTTGTGGCTGAGTGGTGCTCCCCTTGTGGGAGGGCAGGTACCACCAGGGGGCAGCTCCTGCGTTGAGTGCCTGCCCCTGGTAGTCAGTGCGCATCATAGCGACCGGTCATTCCCAGTTGTTCCATTAGGGTCAATTTGCATATTACCTTTTTATTATATAGGGTAAGTTATTAAAATATTTAAATATAATCTTATTCTAAAATGGAGGTAGGGGAGGTCTTACTTTATCTTTACAAAATATACACAAATACCAAGTGCTAAAGAAATTTTCCACCAAATCTCATAAAACCAATTCATCATAATGGTGGAGCTGAGGGCATATAAACTTAGAGTAAAACATTTTGAAAACGTACCTTGTGTCTGGGTTGTACCTTGCGGAAAAGCAGATACAGTAAGTAGAAGTTGCCAACGCTGAAGAGCAGATTCACAAATCTGAGCATTCCAATGGAGCAGACAACATGTTCCGACCAGCCGAAGATCCAGCGGGCAGGCTTGACCACCCCGACCGACAGCAGGTAGAGGCCAGGCAACGTGGTAATCATGGGGTCCCACTGCAAAAGGAAAGGCCCCAATGAAGCAGAAGCGAGAGGACGGCCACAAAGGTGTCAGGCTCGAAAGCAACTTTACCAACAAGTAGGCATGTTTAGAAGTTACCCCGTGACACAACTACCAAGTCCTCGGCAGAGCAGATGTGCTGCTCGTATTCTGCCCCTGCCCCGGCTTCTGTGACTGTGAAGCTGTCACCAACCAGTGGGCAACAACGTAAAATCAGGGTCTGCTCTTCAGAAAGACCTGCCTACTCTTCCAGAAGCCCGCATGGTGGTGATTACACCGCAAATGCTCCATTGTTTAAAAGTGTGGAAACATCAGCTGGAACTCTGATGAGCTTGGAGGGAAAGAAGTGTGTAGTTTTTTTTTTAATATATTTTTATTGATTTCAGAAAGGAAGGAAGAGAGAGAGGGGGGGAGAGAGAGAGAGAGAGAGAGAGAGAGAGAGATAAAAACATCAATGATGAGAGAGAATCACTGATTGGCTGCCTCCTGCCACCTTAGGGACTGAGCCCACAACCTGGGCATGTGCCCTTGACCGGAATCGAACCTGGGGCCCTTCGGTCCACAGGCCGACGCTCTACCCACTGAGCCACACCAGCCAGGGCCAGAAGTGTTTCAAGAGACTAAACCGCGGGCTCCATAACGAAAGCTAACGTGCACAGCGCTACACCCTCCGAAGCGGACCCTGCAACTGGCCACAGTCCTGTCGTTGCCACACAACTGGTACATAAACTCCAATTTAAAGCCAGGCCTTTCTCTAACCAGACTTCGTGTTTCTAACCATCGCCCTACACGGTCTCCGCAGCCGCGGGCGAATGACACGCCCACAGCGCGTCCTCCCTGAACAGCTGCCATGGGTTCTGCGCCTGTGAGCCAAACACATAGAAACCCACCATCGCTGGGTCCACTGCCATCAACAAGGGGCAAGTTCCTGCCACATCGGGGAAGGTGCGGGCGCAAGGAAGCGGTTCCAGGGCCCGCAGCGCTTTATTCTTGTATCTCTATTATGTGTTTACAGTCAATTATGCACTCAAACAGGCTGCCACTCGGCCGGCTGCCACGAACTTGACCCAGTTAACAACAGAGCCTCCACCCCCAACACCCAGGATGGAACTAGGCAACTCGCAGCTGCTCGGCGGCTGGCGATCCCCGCTCCCCACCCGTCCCCGTCCCGCCCCAAACCTCGGCGGGGCGCTGGCCGGCGCGCGAGAAAGTGAAGTGTCCGGCCCTTTCCGGGGATCCGCCCTGGGACCAGGGGGGAAAGCGGAGATAACGGGGCTCCGCGTCGGCTCCGGTCATGACCCTGCTTCCCAGAAGGCAGATCTGCGGCTCGGGCATCACTTAGCAAACAGGTCGCAGCTTTCAGAGGCAGGAACACGGATCACCCAGTTCCCTTCCCGTCTGAGGCTGGGAGGCCGGGGCGGGGGTTCGGATCGGGGTGGGAGAGATGGCGCGGGGGCTGCCCCGGCCGGCAGGGGCGGGTTCGGGCGGGGACCCCACCTGCGAGAGGGAGAAGCGGCCCTCGCAGTAGCGCTGCGCCTGCGGCAGGTGGAAGATCTCGTCCATGTAGGGCTCCCGGAGCGCCCGGCTGAAGGCGGAGAAGAGCAGGCAGGACACTAAGAAGGTGCAGCTCAGGGCCGCCGAGAAGTAGTAGCCCTCCAGCGGCGCCGTCCCCGCCCCCATGGCCGCCGCCCCAGGACGCAGCCCTGCGAAAGCTGGGCCGGCTCCCCGCGCCTGGAGAGTCGGGCTGGAAACTCGGGATCGAAATGGGCGCGCAAGGCGGGACTGGCCGGAGGGGACTGAACTTAGCCGGAAGGCAAAGGATGCTGGGAGGGAGCGGACGCTGAGCTTCCGGAAAACACCCGGTCATTGTTTCCGGAGTGAAGAATTTAAGTAACGGACCCGGGCTGTTGGCCTGTCAATCACATCGATCGGGGCTCGCTGAGTGGTCAGAGCCGCCTGGAGAGGCGGGTCCGGGGCGTCAGGCTTTGAAAGGCAAGAAGCTGCTTTCCCCACGAGTCAGTCCGGCTTGTTTTTCCTGGTCGTTCCCATTTCTCACCAGGAGGGGGCGTCAATTCCCCACGTTTGCAATCCCAAGCGCTAAAAATTTGCTCATTCCCCTTCACCCCTCTTCCCAGTTTTTTCTGTATTCTCTTAAATAATCTGAATGATTAAAACTTGCAATTCCAAGGCACTTTATTTCATCAACTCTGGAGAATGGGAGGGGAACGTAGGTTGTGGAAGCCAATCTGAGGGTCTGGAGTGACCATTCACTGCTGAATGAACTTCACGAATTAGAGGATTGTTTCAGTTAAAAGAGAAATCTTTCAAAAGGTCCATACTTTCAAAGGGGATGAGTTAAATCTGCATTCACAGTACCCTCTGGCAGCCAGGTTACAGTACTCTATGGGAGTTGGGAAAAGCAATTATTTTCGAATTTAGGGTGTTTTAGATAAGGAAGGCTTTTGTGTGTGTGTGTGTGTGAATGATTGTTCCTGTTAATCTCTGTTGAAGCATTCTATTTTCCCTTCTATGTAATAAGTGTAAGCATCCTCATGGGTAGCGCTATGTATGACTTGCATTTGTAGTCCCCACCATGGCTTTCACATATTATGCACTTTGATTTATAGACCTTTACCGGCTATGTAGACTTCACATATTTCTTGTATTGGAGCTTGGGAGCAGGAAGTACTTGAAGAATGCTGAAGATAAATTATGTCTTGGAATTTTGCCTTGACCATAGTTAGCTAGGTTTTGTAGAAAAATGATCTCTTGGGTCACCTCAGTCAGATTGTGTTTGTCTAGAATACTTCACAAAGGAGTCGGGATTGTTTAGAGTTGCAAACCTCAGCTCTTTCCCTGGGTCAAAGCTAATTCAGACTCTCCCAATTTAGGCAAGTTTGTCAAGTTAAACTGACTGACCCTCTATTCCGTATCTGCTATTTCCTCGTTAATCAGAGGGGTAAGAGGTGAATTGGGGGTGGGATGGGAATTGACTGAAACCATTAGAATAAAATCATGTCAGGATCCTACTCTGATGTAATGCTTAGCTTTGTTTTTCCTATTAGCTCCCATTTTATTATTGAGTACATGCTGTCCTGATCTGTTTGAGATTATGTCCAGATGATCCAGTTTTCAAGAGGTTGATATGATCTATGAGTAATTGGCCCCAGATCCCATGACTTGTTCAGTTGTGATATATGTATTGGAGGGGGAGGGGATATCTTTTTCCTCTCCCCATCTAAATTTTCAACTGGGATCTCTAGGACAAAGACAGGTCAACAACAGAAAGGTGTACACATTCACTTAACATAAGTTTTATGAGACACAGAAGACTTCGTAGGGAGTAAAGTACCAAAGAAATCGTTAAACCTGAGCATTTCCATGCTAGTTTGATGAACGTTGGAAAGTTGTGGAAGAATATGATAGGACAAAGGGTATGAGGCAAGTGTTGTAAACTGGAGGAAACTTAGCAAGGCCTGTTTATTCATATTCCTCTGTCTCTCCTTGACTTTGGAAATAAGGATGGGCACCTCCTATGTGAGGATTTTGTGGCCTATTTCAGGGGAGGATCAGAAAATCCTCCCTGCACATGCCATTTCCCAAATTCCTTCAGTTTGAAATATTTGATATGCCAATCAAAGAGCATGTCCTGAACATCCCCCTCCCCCACCCCGTCAGTCAATGCCCTGCAGGCTACTGGCCTTCTCTAGAAACACTGTGCATTTTCTTAAAGGCAGTAGGACGAGGCCAGACATTCCTACTACACATTTCTCTCAGTAATTGCCACCAAGAGCCCACTTTAACATCTGTGCTCTACATATCACCACCCATTTAAGGTCATTAGAAAGTTTCGAGGAAATATGATGGGGGTTCAGACTGTCTGAGCTCTTCATTAATAATCTGCTTGATTTCACTTCACAGAGGAAGCTGAAGTTAAAGTGTTTCACCTGAATCGCATAGGAAATTAGCGGCAGTGCTATGGGTAAAAATTAGAATGTGGGACCAAGAGTAATAAAATAAGCCCTCTAGCACTGGCCAGGTGCTCAGTTGGTTGGAGCAATGTCCTGTACACCAAAAGGTTGTGGGTTCAATTTCTGATCAGGGCACATACCTGGGGTATGGGTTCAATCCCCCATCAGGGCACATACATTGCCCTTGCTTTTCTGGCCACCCATGCTGCTTTGTCCCCTCTCTACAATCTTTTCTTTGAATTTTTTCATCTTTTTTTCTTCTTCTTCTTTAATTCCAGGCTTTACACGACTGAAAACACAAAGCTCATCACCAAGCAACATAGAAATTCCTTCCTCCTCAGCAGGTGGAGAGGAGTAATTTAAATATTTACAAGATTAATATTTTTCTGTCATGTGTATTCATATTCAGACACACCTAGTTTTTCTTTTAAATAATATCTATGTGAAAGGAACTGTGCTTTTGGGGAAAAATGAGTAGCTGGAGCAATAGTCCTACAATTATTGCCGACAGTTAAATGAGAACAATTCTGGGGAAAAGAACATTCACTAAGACCTTTGCCCTTACACTATATAAAATTTAAGAGAATCAGAAATTGATTATTAAATGAGTTGGGCTATTATACTGAGAAAATTGCAAGACCCTTAAATCAACCAAAGTAAAAATTTAGAAAGGAAGAGAGTGACAATTTTGTTTTGTTTTTGCTGTTGTTATTTTGATAATCTTCACCTGAGGATATTTTCTTTTCCATTGATTGTTTTAGAGAAAGTGCAAGGGAGGGAGGGCTGGGGGGAGGAAGGGAGAGAGAGAGAGAGAATCATCAATGGGAGAGAGACACGTGGATTGGTTGCCTCCCACACTAGCCCTGACAGAGGCCTCAGGCTCCTGCCCTTGACCAGAATCAAACCTGCAACCTTTCAGTGCACGGGCTGAGAACACAGGTCAGAGTTATAATATTAAGTTTTTAATAAGTAGTAATATGGTTTTACTAATTTAAAAATTTCAGAGTTTGGACTGAGATTTATGATACAATTGTTATTACTAAAGAGATGCTCATCCAACTTAGTGTGAAATTGAAGAAGATTTCAGTTTGCTCATTTCCCTTTCGGGTTTTTAGGCAGAGCCAGGGAAGACCATGAGGACATCCTTGTGCTGATCCCGTGGTGCTCTGCACCCATTGAAAGTTTGGCATGCATTGAAAATATTATTCTCATTATTTCTATGGTATTAATTTAGTGAGAATAGAGATAGTCTGAATTTTCCTTGTTCTTGTTCTGTTTTGTATTGCTTTTCTAAAAAAAAAAAAAAGGGAGAGACTACAAATATAATATTAAATGACTTGCTATTATTTAATATAATCATATGAAACACTACATTGTTTATTACTGTCTCAAAACTTTATTTCCTGTAACGGCCAAGTTCAAATGACTGATGTTGTATCTTCGCGAAATTATCTGAGATAGGTCTGGGTTAAGGAAGTGTTTTTTCAAAAACCTATTTCCAGAGGGTGCTGACAACTTCAGCAGGGTCAGGACCAATGTGTTCCCTTTCCTAAATCGATTTTAGAAACAGTTTAGCCCCGCTGACTAATCAGCACTCAAATATCTGCTCCACTCAGGATGGCTGTGTTTGAGGTTTTAAAAGTTCATTACTTTCAATACTTACAATAATTCATTATTTTTTTTATATTGAAGATGCCTGCTCATAATCATGTCACCATGCAAGAAGTGTTGGGGCAAGTGGGAGACAGGAGAGAGCCTGACCGAGTCACAGGGTTGCAGAGGGTGACTTGTTGCTACTGGGAGACAAACAAACAAAACACTGCACACTTCCCTGGCCCCTCCAATCAAGTGATGGGAAAGCCTTAGTCATCTGGGAAAGGTGAGGTGTTCTTACCGCAGGACCCTGAACAAGGTCCATTGATGCTGGGGGGTGAGGGGGAGATGAAGTCAAATCCTTCTGCCCCTGATGGAGGGACAAGAAAGCTTTTGGGCCCGGTGTCCTGCACCGACTCAAAGTAGAGGCCTGCTGCCACTAAGGGAGATGCAGAAACTCCCCCTCTCGCTAGAGCTGCCGCAAACTGCAAGGCCGAGTGTGACTACCTCACAGGCAGGAACAGGAACAATGTGAAAGCCCACCTCTAAGGACCAGACACGCAGGGCCTCCGTAAACCAGAAGATGGACCAGGGGCACTGAGCCTCCCTTCTCACCTCTCACCATGAGCCTGGAACTGAACGGCAAGCTGTCTACTGCTGTTGTTATGGGTTAACTCAGCAAGATAGACCACCGACTCAGAATTTAAATTTAAGAGCCTTTATTAAGCTGGCCAGCAGACTACGGTTACAGCACCCTGCTGAAGCAGAGGCTGAACTGCAGCCCTGACTACAGGAGTTACATTTTATTACATTTTGTGGAGGCCCAGAGAAAAATGTGTCTTTCAAATTCTGGGCCCCCCAATATGGAGGACACTCTCTTTATTTATACTTTTTCCAGTCTTTTGTCTCCCAAATTTGGGATGAGGCTTCCGGGCCTTCTGAGAAAGAAAGCCTGCGTGCTGGGAAGGGGCCATGAGACATATCTCAAGGCCTGGCCTGAGGTCAGTACCTTCCTATCTGTGTGTTTTAGGAACAGACAGCACAGCATGACCCGTCTGGCCAAAGCGCCAGATATGCAGCCCAGTACACTGTGATGTGGCAAAAGCAAAGAGAGGAAGCTGCTGGGTGCAGGCTTATGAGGGCTGCTGGAGGTGGAACAGGTACACTGAGAGAAAACGTTTGGCATGAAGGCCCATCCTTAAGCCCAAAGTAAAAGCAAACCTCTTCTAGAAATTGAAGTCCATGGTGCACCTGGGTGTA